CTGACCAAGGTTTGCTTCCTGCACATCTGTGTTCCTGCCAGCAGAGCTCTGGAGCATGAGTCACTCTGCACTGTGGCAGCTGATTCCTACTGGTGTCTGCTCAAATCTTTACACCTTTTCAAGCTTCCCAGGCAGGTCAGCTTTGTGATGGGAGCTCAGTATAATATATGGGAATGGGGTTTGGGAAAAGACTCGAAGAAATGCATTCCTTGGGCAGCTCAGGGGTCCAGAAAGATCTCTGTAGTCAATGCAAATCTCAAAAGTGCTGGTATTTCCCTTCACTCAAAAATTGTTCAAACTTAAAGAGAGATGAGATGTACTCCTCATGGGAAGGGAGCATGCTTGTTTGCCTTTCTCTGGTTTATTTTTGAGGAAATGACCTTTCTGAGCTGTTTAGCAGCTGCTCTTTCTCCATCATTTATTTTACTTTCAATATTTTCCAAAATTTAAAGAAGTCATAACCACACCACCCCGAGAAGGACAGTATGAGACTGCTAAAATGGTTTAGCCAGACAATCACTGCAGATAAATTGATTGATGAATATGCACCCGCAAAATCAAAAATCATCACGGATATGATTAGGAAATAATTCATGCTGGCTTATTTTGTGAAACCAGACTGTCACCTCCATAAAATTCCCTCTGAAAAGGGAGGGAGACGTTTGTCTGTCTGGGAGCTGTGACCATACTCCTGATTCACTGCACAGACTCATTCCAGCACACTCTAAATAATCTCATTCCCTGGGGACGGACTGCAACCAGCAACTGCCAGCAACCAACTTGTCTGGTGTTTCCTCCCCTCATAGCAGGACTCCCAACCCCAGGTTTTTAGGAGACATGGTGAGAAAGAGGCACTTCCTACCCCTTGGAGGTGCAAACAAAGGGAAGCGAGTACTCATATTTCAGTTCTGACAATGTGGAAGGGACTGACTACAGCAGGGAATTTTGCATATAAGATTTTGGAGTAGGTAGAGGAATCTGACATAGGAAAACCATGCTGCTCTTTAAGTGTCATGCACTCATTTCTGTACCTGACCAAAACCAACAATAAACACTAAGCGGAAACTCTGGAAAAAATATCACAACTCCTGCACTTCTGGCACCTGAAAGTCATGATCTGGAAAATACAGATGGAGTGGGAGCACCTTAGTCCCAGCCCTTCAGTTTAACATGAACTGTCAGCTCTTCAAGAGCATAAGAAGCTGAAGAGCAGGTTGGTATTGTGCTGCTGCTTTGTAGGAAGTAGCAAAAACAAGGAATTATTGGATGCAGAGGTAATTGTGATGTGCTGTGGAAGTCGGAATGGCTTTTATAAAGGGAAGTCCTGCTATAGTCCCTGGAGTTCTCTGAAGGTGTCAACAAGCTTTTGGATAAAGGATATCCTGTTGATATAACCAGCTTGTATTTCCTGAGACCTGCAGACAGCATCTCTCACTAAAGGCTTTTAAGGAAAGTCAAGGCGTAAATGGAAAGGTCCCTGGATGAATAAAAAAGGAATGAATTAAAAAAAACAGGAAACAGAGAGTGGGAGCTCATGGTCAGGTCTTGTGGCAGAGACTGATCAGCACTGGTGTCCCCTGTCAGCTGTTTGCTTACAAACTCATTCATGAACTGGAAAGGAGTAAAGAGCGAAGTGACAAGATTTAGTCATGATACAAAAGTCCTCTGGGTATTAAAGATCATTAAAAATTGGGAAGAATTGCAGAATCTCTGTGACTGGACAGAGAAATTATGCCCAAGGGGAAAAGCAGCCTTTAGCTCACACGTGGCTCTGAGCTGGCCAAGAGGGAAAAGCTGAGCTATAACAGATAGTTCCATGAAAATATCAGCTAAGCATATTGCAGCAGTCAATAAAGCAAATAAAATGTTGGGAATTGCCAGGAAATGGGACAGAGCTCAAAACAGAGAATGTTGCTAGATAAATACATAAATTATAATTTATTGTAAATTATTATTACTATCATCATCATCATCATCATCATTATTCAAATACATAAATCTATGGGTCTTCTAGCTTGAATCCTGTGTGCAGCTCTGGTCCTCTCACTTGAAGAGGAAATCATTGATGAAAAAGGATTCAGAGGATTAAAAGGCTGATAAGAGGTACATAACTACTCAATGAAAGGGATAAGTTATCTCTTCAATTTAAAAGATGACCAGGATAAATCTATAACATCATGAACATATCATGGAGAAGGTGAAGAGATTGATTTTTCATTGCACTTTCCAGTAAAAGAAGAAGGAAGCAGTGCTTTTAGGTGGGAGAGGACAAGCTCAAAGGAAACGGAAGGAAATGACTCTTCATGCCTGTAGTTAAACTTTGGAACTTCCTGCCACAGTGTGTTGTGGGAACTAAAAACTGATGTGGTTTTAAAAGCACCCCTTCAAGCAGGCTCTTTGAGGAAGAGAGAGATTGAGGGTTATTAATATGCCAAGTCCACCTTTTCAGGAAGTCCCTGAACTGCACATGATTGCAAAATGGGAGTCTGCTTTTACTCTCTTCCCAAAGCATCTGCTTTGGCTGATATCAGAGAAGGAATCTTAGAGACACAACTGGTTCTTGGGCTTCAAGAAATCAGGGACTGCACTGACCATCAGCACCTTCACAGTGGTCAGAGTCTTGCACATTTTTCTCAGGGTTGCTGTGCACTTAAAACCTTGTCATGGTTTAATCCCAGCCAGCAACTCAGCCCTACACAGTCTCTCACTCACTCGTCCCTGGTGGGAAGGGAGAGAAAATTGGAAAAGTGAGAAAATGTGTTGAGACAGAGACTGTTTAATAGGGGAAGCAAAAGCTGTGCATGCAAGCAAAGCAAAAATAAAATGAGTTATTTCCCCACTTCCCAGGGGCAGGTGTTTGGCCATGCCCAGGAAAGCTGGGCTCCAGCACATGTAACAGTGACTTGGGAAGTTAAACACTACTGCTCTGAAAATCCCCCTGTTCCTTCTTCTCCCAGCTTGCTGAGAATGATGCCCTATGGTATGGGATGTCCCTTGGGTCATGCAGGGTCAGCTGTCTCACCTATGTCCCCTCACAGCTCTCTGCACCCCCAGCCCAGTCACTGGTGGGGTGAGATAAGGAGTAGAAAAGGCCTTGACTCTGTGTAAGCTCTGCTCAGCAATAACGAAAACATTCCTGAATTGTCAACACTGTTTTCATTACAAATGCAAAACACAGCCCCATAGTTGCTATTATAAAGAAAATTGCCCCAGGTAAAACCAGCACAGACCTCAAGGACCTGACCTGGGAAGTAGACAAAGTAATGATCTCAGACATTCAGGTGCTATTTTGCTTTCAGCTCATTTCCTTCAGCCTGTGCTCACCATTCCATGCTTTGGCCTATTATTTCCAAATTTTCATTTCTCTTATGGGAACACCATTTGCAGTCATTAGAAGATTGAGGATTTTCCTCCTATCCACTGCATAAAAAAGGTACAATGATCACAAAACACATGAATTCTTGGTATATTATTTCAAGTGCTATATTTAACTAAATTATCCCCTCTTTTGGAATTGTTTGTTATTCCTTTGGTGATAGAACAGCATCCTGTTTGCCTGCACATACTGCAGCTGCAGATTTTTAGTGAAATCCTCATGGGTTTCTTGAAATAGCTTTAGAACTGAAACCTCCCAAACACTGCAATGCACTTCCAATTTATTTAACCAGATCCTAATGTGAACCTGTGACTACTCCTATCACATTGTTATTCTTCAGAATGCATGACCACGTTGTTTCTTTAGTGCAAGGGCTTAAAAATACCCCTAAATTATGCAATTTTGTCTTTACCAAACTATGTGACTCAGCTTGGGCAAATTCCAGAAGGTGTGTTTGCTCCCATAACCTTAACTCAGTTATGCTGCACATCCTACGTGAATAATCCATTGTCAACCACAGGAAATGGGGATCTTGTTCAGCTATCACAACCTGATTACAGACAATGATCCATAAACTGCTAGTTCTGAGTAATATTAATCACTTTCCTGAACACTTAGATTAGAGCTTTGATACATGGATAATTAATTCGGCACTATAAATTTGGAGAGCATGTAAGAGCTAGGTTGTGCTGCTGATAGAGAAACAGCTACATGTCCCAGTAATATTCCTTGCTTTACATATTCTACAAGTATTTCTCTTCCTCACAGGGAGAGCCTAAGAGCTGGGATTGCTAATTGCTTTTTGAAGAGGTGATCTTCACATGAAGCTTTTATTTTGTAAACAGAATAGGACTGAGTCCAACCTGAAAGAGGCTTATGGGTTAAGGATGTTGGTGTTAATTATACCTAATAATAACTGGGTAGCTTTGGAAAATCAGAATCTAAACATCTGCTGCTAAATAACAGTGGAAAGCAGAGTTGAAAACCTGGCTGTTAAAAGATCCAGGCAAAGTAGCCCTCAATTAATCCCTGGGAGATGAGAGACAGATTGGACAAACTGCCAGTGCCAGAGGTTTCAGCCTTCCCAGACACATATCCACTGTCCTCTCTAGCAAACAAGGTTCTGCCATCTCTAACTTAACCCTTCAGTTTCAGTTTAAACTCATTCCACCTGACCCACTCCCAAGGAACGTGTGGAGCAGTTTACAATCTCCCTTTCCACAGGCACCTTGCCCACTCTCACATACAATTGTCTGAGCAGCTCTGGGCAGGAGAACTTGCCTTCCTTACAAAAAGAGAAATGAGGATGAAAATGTTGGTTTCTATATACTGTCCAGCATGTTACTCAGATCTGCAGAATATCAGCTTCTTGCTCTTTGGTAAGCCTAAAATTAAAAGCATAAAGTACAGGTATGGCATATCTTTAATCCAGCCTTCTCTCCTCACCCAAGATGATGTTTTTCAAAGATATTTGGACAGTGTAATAATCTCCATGCATGCACCAAAAATAAAATTAATGAAATAGCAACATTCTCTACCTGAAGTCCAGAAAAATTACTAGGAGCACTTGAGTTTTAAAAGTCACCAAAGAGCTCATTCCATAATGGCACCATCATGGCAAATCAACATGTTGGGGTCAGTGACATTGTATTTCACCTAGGAGAGCAGAAGGACTTCTAGAAAGGGAACTAATGACAGTGCCTTCTGCATGACAGATGATCTCACATATGGAATCCATTTGGCCACAGGCAGAGCCACCCATCGAGCAGATTACAATGATCCTCAGCTCTGCACAGCTCCAGCCACTCTGCCAGGACAGACGGGTTTACACCGAGTACTTAAATATTCATTACCTCCATCCAGCAGATTAAAGAAAAAAGAGCAAACTGTGGAGATACAAGACTCTAAAGCAACAGCTGACAATATAGGAGATTCTTTGCTTGGTGCATCTGTTGCACAGATAAGGAGTTGTCCTGCTGAGCCACAGCTTTTCTAGAAATTCTGTGTTGGGGGACACATTTCCCATGTGACAGGCTCAAATCCTGTATCTCTTACAGGGAGCTGCTTCTGTTCCTTCTGGCAATTTTTTTTCAGTGCTTAAAGATGTTATTTGGGGAGCAACAGTGGAAACCAGAAGGGCTGAGAAGAGTGTTAGGTTTCTGCCTGGATACAATTAAGCCACTGTATATATGATCAGGGCACTGTATATATGATACAATATATGTACAATCAGGGCACTGTATAGATAATTAGGGCACTGTACCCAGTAGAGATAGGCTTCTCTGTGTTTCCATATATAGATCTCTTAACCTTATTGCTCATCTTATGCTGCCCCTTGTTTTTCTCAGTGACATTGTGTTGAACTTTGTGCTTTTTGTGCAGGCAATACTCGGGGGTTTTCCCCGTTTTGTTATCACCACTGACACCAGAGTTGCAGAGCAGGAAACCCCAGTGAATGCTGACTGATCAGAATTAGGTGGCACCTTAAAGTGGCTGGCAGAGACAAAGCTCAGACCAAACAATCTGCTCAACAATTCACCCTGCACACAAACAAATGCTGTCCTTGCAGGCTGAACTTCTAATGAACTGCAAATTACAAACAAGGTTACCAGCAGCTTACCACTTGCTTCAAGTGCTGAGGATAAAGAAAGGTTGCAAGGAGTTGCTAAAAAACACGGGAAGAGGCAGGAAAAGTGTTCCATTAAAACAAATTAAGGGCAAGGAGAGATTGGTGGTTTCTGGGGTTACACTAAAGGGTTTTGATGAACGGCAGCTCCCAAAGGATGGTATCAATTATCTGCTTCAAGCCTGGACAAACTGGTTGCTGTGTAAGCACCAATGCACAGACAGTCTTTCTGACGTCATCTTAATTCACATTAGAACCGTCATCTATTCCTTCTCTCCTTCTCAGCCTCATTCCTCCTCTCACCAGCACAAACTTTTGTTTACACGCTATTTTTTTGATTCATCTGTGACATTTTTCTCTTTTCTGACCCTCCCCTTCCATTACCTCCGAATACTCTCACTCCTTTCAACCATCCTCATCCTATCCTCCTCTTTTGGTCATGCTGTCCCTGGAATCCTTCCTCTATCACAGACAAGATCACAGCTATCCAAGGTATTTTTCCAGCTCTTTGGGTCTTTAAGACTGCATCACCTCAGGGAAACCTGCCATTTGTCAAAAAGGGAGAGGGCAGCAGGTGAAATTCAAGGGTTGTGCTATATAAGACATAAAATCTAGTGGTTGGTCACATTCTGCTCTATTTCTGGTACTTTTCTCCCTCCACCTTCTCAGAGGTCTTGTCCTCTGCATCTCACAATTTTTTCTCTTACAGGGTACAGGAAGTACCTGGCACTCCCATATTGTATCAGAAAGAAAAATGTTGAACTTATTCTCCACCTGCTGCCTTGAACCCTCTTCTTTTGAACAGCTCCTTCCCTCATCTCTACTGCTACTGCTTATCTGTAACTGCCCAGATTTCCTCCATCATCCTGCTTTTATTTCAATTTATTTTCTTTCTATTTTCTTTTCTTTAATTTTCAATTTTTTCCCTTTTTTTTCTTAATCATCTCCCCATTTGGTTCTTAATCAGTTTGTTAATGTAGATGGAGGTTTTGGATTTTAGGTACCCAGATTTTCCAGGGATACCAAAACCAGGACTGCCACAATCTATTTTTTCTTTTTCTGACCATTTGCAGAATAGATGTTCAGTTCACTGTTTCCTCATATTGATTTCCTCAGCAGCTATTCACAGGGTTTATTCTGTGAATTGATTCAACATTAGGGCTGTGTTTTTTCCACCTAGTTGGAGAAGTAGTATGATGCTGTTTTCATTCCCTGCATATTCAAGGGCATGAAAGATCAAGCATGAATATCTATCTGATCTTAGTCATTCATCCTGAATGTGGAATGTGCTCCCTAGCAATGTTTTTACCTGAAAATAACTTAATAATTTTCAGAGTTATGAAATTAGACATTAAATGCAAACACCGACTTTTCTGCTATTATAGCTAGCATTGATTAAAATTGGAAAGAAATATTCAGAAGCAGTTAATTCCATACTGTTCCCATAACTGTAATTGCTTCTTTCTCTACCCAGACAATAAATCCACAACAGAGATGACAGTTTCATGATTTTTAGTCCACAGATACTTCCTCCCATGTATGTAAAAGAATTCACAGAAATGGAGAAAATTCTGTGACTTTCTTGACTAAATGAGGTAGATATGGGCTACTGTTTGACTCTCTAGTTTTTTACCTCATACATAATAATCTTAACTATCCTGACATCTGCACTGGTTAAAAGGGAACAACAGCGAAATCCATGTTGGGTTGGATAGGTTGAGAAAGCAAAAATCTAAACCAAAGCTTGTGTTTAGTCCTAATGACTACTTGGTCTGAATGCATTTACCAGAAACACCTCTGTGGAAACCTTGCCCACAGACAGTCTCCAATTCCACTTTGCCTCTGGGTGGCCTCAGGCTGGTGTGCCACCAGGGTGGCCTGACAGCAAATGAGGAGGACAGATGAGCTTCTCACTCTTTCCTCTACCTCTATTTCCTCCATGATTCTCTTTACTCAGATACTGATATGGTCTATAGCCTTTTCTAAGCTGAGCATCCCAAAATCTTGAATCCTCCTGCCAGTGAAACAGGATGCTCTTATTAACCTCATTCTATCAATGTGGAAGCTAAAGTGACTCACCATGGTCACAGGTATCAAGTACCTCACAGAGCAGGGCCATCAATTAAACCAGCAGAAAAACCTTTTGGAAATTCTGGAGTAGAAGGCCCTCAGAGAATACAATAATTATCATGATTAATTAAGGTGGTCACGTAGCAGGGTGCTGTGACTTTGCCAGCTTGAACAGTGAACATCCCTGTGGGAGTGTGCCTGGGTAGAGGGAAGCTCCAGCGACAGACTGATAGAGCTCTGGGAGAAGGGGAGGATCTTGAGGATTATCAGAGAGTCTGAGAGACAAACAGACTCCTGGAATGACACTCTTCCCTCCTTAGGACAGGCCCAGAGGTAGGCAGAACAGATGACACGGAGGATTACTTGTCTTCTCTCTGCCTGGCTGAACTGAGTGGCTCAAGGGGTGGGGAGCAGTGGCACTAAGCCCTGCCTGGCACAGCAGAGGGGTCTCCTCTGTTACTGCCTCACCTCCCCAGGTGCCCCAGCACAACTGGTATGAGGCTCTGCCAGTGGAACTGAACAATGGAAGTGTGATGGTTCCTCTGGGTGGGAGATGTTGCTGAGGTTAATGGTTTCTCCAGGTCAGAAGTGTTGCCAAGGGTAAGTCACATTATGCTGTGCATCAAAGCTGCTTCCATAAGGAAATAAAGATGGATCATTGTCATAGGAGACTCCCTTCTGAACAGAACAGAAGACCCAAAATGAGAGGCCTGGTGGAACAGTCCCTTGGGAGGCAGTCCTGAAGGGCAAAGGAGTCCAGGAAGGCTGGACATTCTTCAAGAAGGAAATCTGAAAGGCACAGGAGCAGGTTGTCCCCATGTGCCAAAAGATAAGACAGAGGGGGAAAGACAAGCCTGTCTGGACAAAGAGATTTGGCTGGAATTCAGGGGAAAAAAAAGAAAAAAAAAAGAGTTTATGACCTTTGGAAGAAGGGGCAGGCAAGTCCAGAAGACCACAATGATGGTGTGAGGTTATGCAGAGACAAAATTTCTAATTTGGGCCCAGCTAGAACTTAATATGGTTACTTTTGTAAAAGACAATTAAAAATGTTTCTATAAATAAATTCATAACAAAAGGATGCCTAAGAAGAATCTCCATCTTTTATTGGATGCTGAGGGAAACATAAGTGACAAAGGTTGAGGAAAAAGCTGAGGTACTTGATGCTTTCTACAAAAAGACCTTGAGGTGCTAGAACATGTCCAGAGAAGGGCAACAGAGCTGGGGAAGATTTTGGAGTACAAGTCTGGTGAGAAGCAGCTGAGGGAGCTGGGGGAGCTCAGCCTGGGGAAAAGAAGGCTCAGGGAAGACCTTATTGTTTCTAAAATGACCTGAAAGGAGGCTGTAACCAGGCGGGGATCAGCTTCTTATGCCAAGTAACAAGTGACAGGACAAGAGGAAGTGGCCTCAAGTTGTACCAGGGAAGGCTGAAATTCAATATTAAGAACATATTCTTCACCAAAAGGGTTGTCAAGCATTTGAACAGGCTGTCCAAGGGAGTGTGGAGTCACCATCCCTGGAGGTATTTAAAAGACATGTAGCCATGGCATTTAGGGACAAGGTGTGGTGGTGGACTTTGCAATGCTGGGTTAATGGTTGAACTTATCTTAAGGGTCTTTTTTTAACCTAAGTGGTTCTGTGATTAACTCCTATAGTATCCCAAAAACTAAGGGTATAGATTCTGGCTGCATAAATTTGTCATTAGAATTTTGTAAAACCTTGGGATTGAGGAAGAAATTTGGCCACAAGATATCTTCTAGAGCAGGATAAAAGAGGATTCTCGGTCCAAGATGCACCAAGCACACACAACTACTAATGAAATCTATGAATGCTGCAGTTTCTCAGCCTCGTGTAGCACAGAGGTCAGGGGGCTGGAAAGATCAGGGGGAAACTGGTAATGGAGCTGAGCAGAGTCAGTCTGGCTCCATCTCACAATGCAACTGGAGAACATCTGTGTGTTTGGTAGCAGACTGTGATACAGTGGTCAGAAGTATATTCACTGTTCACTTCCTTTTGGGATAGGTTTGAACTGCCTGAGCTCCCTCTGCCACTTTGTCAGGGCAAATAAGAGACACCCACCTTGGGGAATGAGGAATCCAAAGTCAGGTACAGCTGCCATATGGCATAGATATGCATTGGAAGTAAGAAAACTCAGCTCAAAAAGTCTGGGCTAGATATCAACCAGTTTTAATTCCAGAGAGGAACAATCTGACCCACCCTGCAGTTGCTGAGTCAAACTGAAGTGGATGTCCCAGAAAGAGCTGCAGAGGCTGAGAGGAGCCTTAGTACTGAGCAAACCCCTTGACAAAGCTGCCCTGAGATGAGATGTCTTCAGCATCCCGGTGTTTCCAGGGCAACCAGAGCTGCAATTCAGTTCTGATAAAAGTTCACCAAATCCAAGCTTTTTCAGACATAATATTTTTCACCAGCTGAATTGGCATCTTTGGAAGTTGTTTCTGAACAGTGGCTCTAGTGTGCACGACCATGTCAAGCATCAGCAAGGGCACAATAGGCAGACGTTACACATTTCTGGAAATGAGAGGCAGCTCCTTTGCCCTCAGTACTGTTATTGTTTCTTGGGAACACAGACATCACTGTACTGTTGGATCCATGGCCATTTGGTGGGATCACTTTTTTCTGAGAGTGTTTAGTAATGGAGACATCAGTAGAGGGTGGAAACAAGCCCTGATATCTCTTTTTTCATGATGGTGTAATATAATTCCCTGTATAAAATAGATACTAAAGCATTTGTCTCCCTTCTGGGTTTTGGGAGTTAAATTTTTAGTTTTCAGTGTTTTAACTGTATAACATGTTCCTGTTACCACATCAAGATTTCTCATGTTTTGGGTTTTCAGTAAATTCCAGTGCTCTCTCATTTGTAACTATGTCGAGCAAGTCCTGCTGTAAAATTGCAATTTGCTATTTCTCATCGCTTTGAATGACACTTTGCTCTTTTACTATATGAAAGGGAAAACAGGCACTCTTAATCTATGTGTCCTAGACTGTTCATAGTTTGATTTATTACATCTTATCTTTCCTTCCCAGAAAAATGGTTCCAATCCTTTTGGTTTTTTGTTCATCGCTGTGAGAATGCTGCTTGTCCCTGAACTCCCCAATCCCATTATTTATTTTTGAAACAGACTAACAAGCACTGAAGACTGTCTTCTGATGACAGCAATCACATACATTGTGTAACTGGATTATATAACCCTTCATCCCATCCTTTATATAGCCTCATCTATGTTTGCTTTTTGGATGTGGCCACACAGTGAATGCAATTCTCAACTGACCTTTCTCCACTAATAGCCAAGGACTTTTCCTGAGTCAGTGCTTATCCTAATTTATCGTGGCACAAAAGCACACTGAACTGTGACAGCTCCATGCTATAACTCCCAGCTGTGCACATGTATGCCACAGCAAGGCTTTCCTCAGAGAGGAGTTATCCCAAAATTCTGGAATGGTCTCCCATGTCGATAAGTTCTAATTTAGGGCCACATTCCAGTCTCTAGAGTCAGTTTGGGAAGAATCACAGAGCTGCAAAAAGGAAAGATAAATGTACGAGACATGAATGTTGCCATGGATAGTGGAGCAGGGAGTGCACAAGGCTGGTGTGACAAGGTGGCTAAATAAAGTGGAAGTGACACAGTGAAAGACCTTGAAACATGCAGCACAAAATAAAATATTTCCCCAAAAGACAGATCACTCAATTAAAAAAGAAAAAAAGCCCCATTTCTAGGCAGAATGAGCTGTAAATCTCTGTGAGAATAGAGACAGCAACGTTTGTCTCAAGTTACAGTGAAGGGCAATAAATCTGCAGGTAATTCTCAGAGAGACCGTTCAGCACAATGATGGACAAAGGTCTGCAGGGCTCTGCAGCCTGGCTTGCAGCTCCTGCTCGTAGATTCAGCTTGGAGAATCATACACCAGCTCAGGCTACTGGGATTGCTTTCAGGTACTGCAGGCTGGAGACCACTGCCTCAGCAGGCAAGACCTGTGTACTGAGATGCAGGTGATGACAAATATGTGTGCCCTGCCAGTCCCAATAGACCACATACCAGAAATTTAAGAACTGAAGGCTTCAGCTGAAGCATCTCTGGTGAAACTCAACAGAGCTTTGACAAGCACTGAAGCTGCTTTCACAGCATGTTTAATTATCAGATGTAATTTAAATGGCTGTGGAGCTGCAGTTAGAGGGGGAATCAGTGAATCTTAGGCAGATAACAGGGTGTTACTTCCTTCAGAACTGCTCAGGACTGAATTTTTCTTAATAATGTTGTTAAACGTGCCAAGGACTGCTGGAATTTTGTGTTACCATGCTCCTTTATGTTGCCCTCAGACTGACAGTCAGACAACCCTTTCCTTCTGCTGTAATTTGGAACCTGTGTGGAAATTCTATTCTTTTGGGAAGGTGCAAATAATGGGCTTGGTCTCCTATATTGCTCCTGTATTGCTCCTATATTACACCAGCAATGGTCTCTGTGGTTGGGAAAAGCACATGTCTGAGTCAGAGGCAAAGCTAAAGAGAGAGATGAACTGATGAACTGAGGAGTTTCTTTATGTGATGTCTATCACCTTGCTTACTAGGAAGTTCAGGGTACAGCAGCATTTCCCTCAGCAGCTGCAGTAATCCCGTCCCAGCCCATATCTCCAATACAATCTGCTCCTAAAATAGCCTGTTCCTCTGTACAGAAGTAGGAGATCTCATTTTCAAAGCATTTCCTCTGCTGGTAATCCAGCTTTTACTCATGGTGCTGGTATCCAACACTGCTGCTGCGAACGGGCAGCAACGCCCATGCAGAGGGAGGAAGAGAAGGGACCTGAGGAGAGGAAAACATCACCTCCATTCACAGTGCAGGGAGCAGGGAGAGGCCCCGTGCCAAAGGGCCCATACACATAAGGCAAGGTCTGGTGCTGCCTGGAGAAGGAGGGAGGTGGGACAGGTGGTCTGGCAGGTGCCTCAACACACCCCATACAAGGTGCTTCTGCAGTTCTCAACCAGAAGCATCAAGTGCTGCATCTTGTCCAAAAGCCATGTGAGAGGTGGTGCAGGATGGTAGCAGCAAAGAATTGTTCATGGTGACAGAAAGAAACACATTTGTCACCAGGAATGAGCCCCCATGCTTTCAGCAACAGCTCAAGTAGGAGACTGCC